GCCGCCGCCCCTAGCTGTCCTCTGTACACTTTGCAACGCACCGCCAACCCTCAGGCCTTATAGGCTCCAGACGCAGGGCCGATCGCCAACGCCGGGACCAGACAGACAAGCTGTGTGCACGACGCCCGCCTGTGCAGGGAGGACCGGCGTAAGCCCGGCGAAGATCCTGGGGAAACCGAAAGGTACCGATACCGCTACTCCCAGGACCTCTGCCAGGTTGCTTTCTGACCGGAACTTCGAGGCGAATCCAGCGGCGGCGACGAGGGCCTCCCAGGAGGCCCAACACGGGCAAAAACGAGGGAAGGGAAGCCGTATAGGGTACCTCTTCCTCCTCGGGGATCCTGTGGCACGGGATGTCGCCGTCCAAGATCTTCGCGAAGACGTTGTCCGGATCGTACTCGGCCACGGGGCCACCGCCGGCCCGCGCCGTCAGGGCCGCGCGAGATCGTCCACCCCCGGCCCGGCGAGGGCGGCACGCCTGCGACCTCCACGCGAGCCTGGGGAGGGCGAGGGCGAAGAGGCGTCGTGGGAGGACGAACCCAGCCATGATCGCGTCGAACACAGAAATCAAGATGGATGGTCTTTGGCCGTGTTCGGCCCCTGGGGGCCCTCGCCGGGCCTCGGGACCGTCAAACAACGACTCAGGATTTGTGTTTTTTTTCCCAGCGGAGGACAATGAGGAGGAGAGCACGGCCACGAGAACTCCCGCCACGCGGCTGCCACCAAAGCGCGAGGCAATCCAAAGCCAATCCGATCGGGACCTCCTGAGGCCCCGTATTGAAGCAATCAGGACGTCGCATGTCTGGGAACAGGAACCGTGGAAGGGGGATGATGATGATGATGAGGAGGACGAGCAGGAGGAGGAGGAGGATGACGGGGAGGACGAGGAGGAGAAGCGGGAGGAGGAGGAGGAGGAGGAGGAGGAGGAGAAGGAGGAGGAGGAGGAGGAGGAGGACAAGGAGGACGAGGAGGAGGAGGAGGAGGAGGAGGAGGAGGAGGAAAGGAGGAGAGGAGGAGAAGCAGCAGGAGGAGGAGGAGAAGCAGGAGGAGGAGGAGGAGGAGGAGGAGGAGGAGGAGGAGGAGGGAGGAGGAGGGAGGAGGAGGCTGCGCGACGACCGTGTGGTGCGCGGCCGGCCGGCCGTGGCGCGCTGTGCGACGGCGGCGGCCTGCGTGCTCGCGGGCTGGGGCCCTGGAGCGCCCCCACGGAGAAGCCGCGCACCAGAGGTCACTGCGGCGGAGGGCCGCTCGTCACGCGCAGTGGAAGCAAGAGATAGAGGAGGAGGAGGAGGAGGAGGAGGAGGAGGAGGAGGAGGAGGAGGAGGAGGAGGAGGAGGAGGAGGGGGAGGAGCAGGGGAGGAGGAGGAGGAGGAGGAGGAGGAGGAGGAGGAGGACGAGGACGAGGAGGAGGAGGAAGGAACCGCGGCGGCAGGACCCCTGGGTCGAGGGGCCCATCGAAGGAGAGGGATGGGGTTATAACGCCACAGAGGACGGCTACAAGTCCCCCCAGCCTTGGGGCGGCCTTCTCCGACACCACCGCTGGACAAGCCTGAAGCCCAGGAGGCGCAATTCTTCGGCAGGGCGGGCGCACAGTGGCATGCCGAAGGTGTGCCTCCCCGTGGTGATGGTTATCCTCCTCCCCTTCTCGGCGTTCCCTCATGATCCTCCTCCACCTCCTCCTCTTCCTCCTCCTCGTCCACCTCCTCCTCCTCCTCCTCCTCCTCCTCCTCCTCCTCGCTCCGACGTCCTCATTCCCCATCCATTTTTTGATGCCCCTTGGTCATCCCTTGCGCACCATGACAAACTTCATTCTGGGCTGGTGGCGGAGGCACGGGGTTGAGAATGCTAGATCGCACGCCCTGGCTACATACAATATTGGGGCTCTTTGACCGCCTCGCTGGTGATGCTGTCGTTGGCCGTGTCGCTGCTCCATGGTCCCCTGGCCCTGGCCACTTCACACACTAGCCGTGGGCACGTAACAAATCCGCCGACCCCTTGGGGATCATCGGCGTGTGAGATGCTTCCCCCTCCCCAAACCCCTCCCCCGGGAGCCCGGTCCGGTCGATTTGGAGGGGGGGGGGGGTCCGGGACGAGCGCAGCACGGCCGGGACGAGCGGTTCACGGGGCTTTTCCGGGCCCAAGAGGGCCTCAAGACGGGCCAAGAAGCCCCCAAGAGGCCTCCAAGACGGCCCACGAAGGCCCCGAGACGCCAAACGACCGCTCCAAGACGCCCAAGATGGCCCCAAGACGGGCCAAGAGGTCTCCAAGACGGCCCCCGAGGTCCCAAACAAGCCTCCCAAGAGGGCCCCAAGAGTCTAAAATTGTTGATTTTCCATAGTGTTTTTCGATGTTTTTTGCTTTTCCGCCTTTTCGGCTTCCCGACGCTCCAAGACGGCCAAAGAGGCCCCAAAGACAGCCCCAAGATGGCCCAAGAGGCCCCCAAGACGGCCTCCAGACGGCCCAAGACGGCCCCAACACGGCCCAAGAGGTCCCCAAGACGGCCCAAGAGGGCTCCAAGACGGCACCAAGAGGGGCCCAAGAGGGCGACCAAACATGTTGAAACTCTAGCTTTCTGCCCCCAGGAGCCCCAGGGGGCCCCAAGAGTGCCCCAAGAGGCCCCCAGAGGCCCTCACGAGGCCGCCCAGACGCCCCAAGGAACCCCCAAGAAGCACCCCAGAGGCTCCGAAACGGCCCCCAAGTGGCTCCAAAACTCGTTTCCAGAGGCCCCCGAGAAGCGATCCGCGAGATCCCAATACACATACAAGAAGCCTCTCACCCATAACCCATAACCCAGAGCCGTTTCTCCGTGTCCCCCTTCTCCTCCTCCTCCTCCTTTTCCTCCACCTGGGCCCCCAAGTGGTTCCAAACTGCCTGCCATAGGCCCCCGAGAGGCGTGCCGCGAGATCCCGATACACATGCAAGACGCCTCTAACCCATAACCCGTAACCCAGAGCCGTTTCTCCGTGTCCCCCTTCTCCTCCTCCTCCTTTTCCTCCACCTGGGCCCCCAAGTGGTCCCAAACTGCCTGCCATAGGCCCCCGAGAGGCGTGCCGCGAGATCCCGATACACATACAAGACGCCTCTAACCCATAACCCATAACCCAGAACCGTTTCTCCGTGTCCCCCTTTTCCTCCTCCTCCTCCTTTTCCTCCACCTGGGCCCCCAAGTGGTTCCAAACTGCCTGCCATAGGCCCCCGAGAGGCGTGCCGCGAGATCCCGATACACATACAAGAAGCCTCTATCCCATACTCCACCTCATCCCTCATCCTCCTCCACATCCTCCTCGTCTCCCTCCTCGTCTTCCTCCCCCACCTCATCCTCATCCTCCTCAACCTCTTCCTCCGCCTCCTCCTCCTCCTCGATTTTTCTCCCTCCCATCCTCCGCCTCACCCCCCATCTTTCTCTCCCCGCCCGATTGGTCATCGTTTGCACGCCTTGCACTTCAGGGTGCCCTTCTTTGCGTCGCGCGCGACATTGGGAGGGTCAGGGAACGCCGACTTCGGCAGTTTTCTCTTGCATGCGCCGCTGCACTGATATCCCACGCAACTGCGCGCTGTGAACCCGAGTTTCTCGCAGCCTCTGCACACTACTTTGGTTCCTTTCGCCTTTCGATGATCGTCCACTTGTCCCTGCTTCAAATGTTTCGTGTCCGAGAACGCTCCTCCGCACGCCGCGCACGTCAGCGGCTTCGCGTCCGCCCCGGCTGTCCGCGTGCGGCTCGCGGACAGCCGGGGCCGCGGCGGTCTTGCGGGCCGCGGCGGGCCCGCAAGACCGCCGCTCGAGCCGCAGACGCTGGCGGCCAATCCCAGGGAGGAATGAGAAGCTCAATGTCATCTCCTATTCCTCCGCCTCCTCCTCATCCCCACTCCTCCTCCCCTTCCTCCTCCTGCTGCTTCTCCTCCTCCGTCTCCTTCGCCCCGCTCTTACGCTCGCAGCGTCACTCGTCTTCCTCCTCCTCATCCTCCTCCTCCTCCCCCTCCTCCGAATACCCCAGCCTGCCCAATCACGGATCAGCCCCAGTTTCGGAATCCACAACTTACGTCCAGCATCCGCCGACCCCGCAGCAATCGAGGTGCCGTGGCGCTTCCATCTACTGAACATGCCTCCGTTTCGGCACACCCCGCACGCGGCAACTTGAGTAAAAGGCCCCAGAACCCGAATATACGCGCGGTTCCCCGCCAACATTGGGCACGTCCCTCATACATTTCGTGGCTCCACGGCGCGCTCCAACCATAGCCCCAGTACCCGCGGTCACGTAAACTTCCAACCCCACGCGCACACACACGTCGATCGTGTCGCGGTTCCAGAATACGTCCACCGTGGGGCCCAGTGGGAACCGTCGCATGCAAGTATACCCCATGCCGGCACACCCTTTGCACGCGCCGTGGCCTCGCACATGGCCAAGTTGACCCATCATGACTCCTGGGCAGTCCCCCCAAAAAACTCCCGACCGCTACCGAAACGGCTCGAAGACATTCCCGAGCCCAACCTGGCTCCATTATGCCTCTCAGATGGCCCCAGATGAGACCACGACCGCCCGCGGTGTCGCCGTGCGCTCGGACCCCCCCGCGGAACTGCCCGAGACCCTCTGGCGGTGGCGGCGAGCAGACACCAAACAAATTTCACTCGCCTTTTCACCCCTTCGCAGCTTCTACTACCCCCAGATTGGCATAAACAAGGGGTCGGCGGTGTGGCGTAAGCCTAAGAATCATAAGGCCATGCTGTCCATGTTTTGGTTCCCGCCGAACGTAGCAACGAGGGATGCGCTCGAACACATCCAAGCGAATGTTCGGCATGGCGATTTCTCAGAAGCTGATTTTGGCACGGACAAGCGCTTATGTTTACCGTCAGGTGACTTGAGGGCACGAGTGGACATTCCGCAGACGCGGTTTCCAGGGGAGGTCGGTTTCGAACAATATCGGTGGAAGGATTCTCCAAGAAAGCGCTATATACCAGCAACGCGCTGCCGTTGCACATCCTACAATATGAAACAACGATGGGAGCGTCTGCGCTTGTTTAAAAGCTGACGATGCACGCCAAGACGATCGCATTTGTACCTTGTGAAACCTTTAATTTCTCAGCCGCGCATTCGAGGAGGAATGGGGAGGAGGAGGGAGGTGGCAACGAGGATGAGACCGGACAGGGGAGGAGAGAAAGGAGGAGGAGGAGGAGGAAACGGAGGAGAAGGAGGAGGAGGAAAAGGAGGAGGAGGAGAAATCTGATTTTTTGTCGCAGCGCAGCATGCAGCCCGCACGCCACCCCAGGGAAAGGCGAGACCCCCGAGGCAAAAACAAAACCACAAACCGCCCTCGAACAGGCAGGCTCGAAGTCTATACCCGTGCGCACAGGCTGGGCGAGAAGAAACAAAGGTGAAGCCCTGCCTGGCGCCACCAGGGCAGGAATGGACCGTTCTAGACTAGAGCGACACCGTTCTAGACTAAAGCGGCGCCGTTCTAGCCCAGAGCGGGACCGTTCTAGGCTAGAATGGGTGGGCGCTGCCACTGGCAGCCCCTGCACAGGACCCGACCCACGACGCCACCATGCGCCCAGACAAAGATGGGGCAACCCCCTGCATGTCTGAACAGAGCCACTGCTACCGCGGCGAGGGAAGCAGGCGTGCTGGCACAAGCAAGCAACGCGCAGGAAGAAACGAAAGGCGAAGTCTGGCCAGGCACCACAAGGTAGGGCGGGGCGGGCACAGACTCGGCGCAACCGCAGAACAGGTCCCGACCCCCGACCCCACGGATAGAGGGAGGAGGAGGAGGAGGAGGAGGAGAAGAGGAGGGGAGGGGAGGAGGAGGAGGAGGAGGAGGAGGAGGAGGAGGAGGAGGAGGAGGAGGAGGAGGAGGAGGAGGAGGAGGAGGAGGAGAGGAGGAGGAGGAGGAGGAGGAGGGGAGGGGAGGAGGAGGAGGAGGACGAGGAGGAGGAGGAGGAAGAGAAGGAGAGGGAGCAGCACCTGCCTAATCAGTGCCGTCTTCGCGGTAAGGAGTGGTGCGTGCTGGCTCTGGCCGGCGGCGCCCGCAGTCCTCGGGCAGGCCACGAAGTGGCGGCCGAGAGGAGGGGCTGGGCCAGATCGGCCCAGCGCCTCTCGCGAGCATCCTCCTCCTCCTCGAAGGCCGAGGGCCTTCCTCAGCGGGGGCAGGCGGACCCCTCCGACCTCGAGCCCACGGTCTCGTCGGAGCCGGACGCGCCGCTGACCTTGGCCTCGCCCAGCGCTGAAGGCGCCGAGCCTCCTCGGCCTCGTCGTCCCCTCGTCGTCGTGGGCGTCCACCTCCTCCCGTCGGGGGAGAGAGAGATGCAGAGGGAGCGGGGGCCTCCTCCTCTCCCACATTGGCCCAGGGGCCGACAAAGACCGTGACGTCTCCGCGCATGGAGTGCCGTCCCCTCGCGATCTGCCTCCAGGCGTGCGGCCGCGAACCTGCCTAGCTCCAGTGTAGAACATGCACTTGAGGCACAACAAAAACTGCCGTCCGAGGAGCCCCCCCCAAAAAACAACACGTCGTGCCCCAGAGCAGAAAACGCAGGAACACCCAAACCACGGATCCCGCCGCCCGCGCCGCCACGGCACAAGCTCGCGGGAAACATCTAGAACACTGCCGAAAACTGCTCGTCCAACTCCAAGCGTGCGTCGGATCCTGCTCTTTGCTCA